AGGCTCGTTTGTTGTGGAAACCTTGTTTTGGCAGGAGCAGGGTGACACAAATGCAAATGTTAGAGGGGAAGAGCTAAAGGGAGGTTTCTCAGGAGCCCTTCCACGAGTGAAGCGCGAGTCCCCGCGGAGCGGCTGGACGCGGTGTCTGATGGTGTTGACGTGAGCGCTTGTGGTGCTGCGGACCCGGTGCCGGGTTTTCACCCACCAAACATCAAACCAAGTCGCCGAAAGCTCATCTTCGGGCTGGCAGCGCCGCTGGGCTGGCACGGCTGCCTGCGCCCGCCCCGAGCCAACGTTGAGCAAGCGGGGGCTGCTCTTGCAAAATGCAAGCCCTCTGTAAATACCAGCAGGTATTAGGAACTGAGTCATGGTATTAATAGGATTATTACATGCGTGACTGGACACATTTCTTGCTGAGTATGGGATTTGGTCCTTCTACCCTGCCTCCCTCGGCTCATCCAGAGGGTTGGGCACCCCATGCCGCTGAGATGGATGTGCTGTTTGGGTTCTTGGCTCTTGGGAAAGAGGGTCTGGAGCATCTCCTGACTAACGAGTGCTCGGTCCTCGCCGGCTTCCGTTGGCCTCGGGGGGGCCCCAGGCTCCCCGGTGTGGACATGGCGGGGGTGGGAGGATCGGCTCTGGGCTGCGCGGAGCTGAACTGCTTCACGCTTCGGCTGGGGCTGGGGGCAGGGGGGGCTGGCACCCAGCTGCGTGTCGGTAGCGTCCGTGAGGGAGTTTGGGATGTCTCAGGTTTCCCTGCCAGCATTCTTCTGCTCCCTAAGCCTTCTTCCGTAAACTTCCACCGCCCCTCCTGGCATTTAATCAACCCCCTCTGTACCCGCAAGGGTTTGGGGCTGTGAAAGCCTCGCCGCGTGTTTATGTCGATGCGTGTCATGGCCCAGAGGGTTGTCCTGGCCCCAGGTGGAGCTCTGCGGTGTCCCCACTCCCTGAGGACCGTGGCCCACGCTGGTCTGTGCCATGGGGGCTGCTGCTCAGCAGCTCTGGGGACAGCCATCCCGCTGGGGACCTTCAGGTGCGGGGTGAGCGAGGCAAAGCTCATAAGATGGAGAGAAGCAAGGGTGTGACCCCAGGGTGGTGTGGGGACAGCCCGGGGTTCCCAGTGGCAACCCAGGGTGCCCTCAGCCCACCTGCCCAGTGCCTGCTGGCAGGAATCTCGTCCGGCTGGTTTTGGTGCAGCATGGCCAAATCCTGCAGAGGGTCAGCAATTAGCACTCGGAGCTAATTGCTGCATGGCCATAGCTCATCCAGCGCTGCGGGAGCTGCTCGCCCCAGCTCTGTTCCCATGAGGGGCCGGCTGCTGGCACATGGTCCGGAAATCAACTGGTCCCCGGGGCGGGGTGGAAGGCTTCACTCGGCATGTCCCGGCATCTCAGAGGAGCCGGGAAAGGAGCAGGGCAAAGCGAGGAGGCCGGGAGCGTTTCCCAGTGCCTGCGATGCCCTGCGCAGCTTCCCCGGCACCTCTCGCTCGCTGCGTCAGCCCTGCAGCGGGGGGAAGTAAAACCTTCGCAGAGCGTGACATTTCGCAGGTTGGTGGCTTCCTGCTGCGCTGGAGCGAGTTAATAACAAACCTTCGGGGACCTGCTCCTCCTCCCTGGAGACGCGGTGCTTTTGGCAAAACTCAGGGTTGATTTTCCTGGTGCTTTCCTCGCCCTGCCCGTGCCAGCTTCCTGCTCTCGGGGTTGGCAATGTCACCGCGGCAAACTGTCCCCTTGCGTCAGCGATGATGCATTCCGGAGGTGGCGGGGAAATGCCCTTCCACCATGACACAGGCTTTGTGCCGAGCAGGGACAGGACTGTCCCCGGCACTGCAACATGCAGAGGTGGTCATGCGTGGGGTCCTGCGCTGTGGCCGCGTCCAAGCCTGGAGAGCCGTTTTCTCTTGGGGGTTCCCCACCGGGTCCGCGCCTCGTCATCGCGTCCCGCTGCCGGACCACAGCCTCTCCTCTCCTCCTTGTTCGCCAGCTGAGGTTGGTCCATGCGTTCTCCGTGCAGACGGTTACGCTCAGGGGTGCCGTGTCCCTGCGCTCTCCTGCGCGGCTCCGGGGTCTCGTGGGAAGAAGAGAGCAGCCGCTGCATGTGCGGGGGTGTGAGTGTGTGGGCTCAGGGGGCAGGGAAGGACCGTGGGGCCAGGAGGGTCGGGGTGCTGTGGAGCAGTCCCACTCCTCTCCGCACAGCTGTCTGCTGCTACAGGTGTAGTCACATCCACGTCGGTTCTCTGCAACCCCCCGGGGCAGCCTGGGGAGCTGCGGGCCGACGCGCCGCCTGGCATACCCGTTGGCACGGCCGGGAAAAATATCCCCCAGGGAGATGCTGTGCCAGCATAACCCGCGTGGCACGAGCGTCCCCACCGCACCCCCGTGCAGCCTTCCCCGTCCCAGCAGGCCTCTGCGGGTGCAGGAGCGACTGTCTCCGACGGGGCTGCGCACGCCTGCGGGTGTGGGTTGGTGTCTGCCTACGTCTAGCAGAGAAGGAGGTCCTCAGGAGAGGTCCTCAGGAGAAAGGACCGGTTCAGAGCACGGCTCTGCTGCCCCTTGCTCACGGCAGCATTCCTTTGGCTCCAGCCAGCTCCATGCTTTCCTTCCGCACGTGAAGGCGGGCTTGGTTGTGTGATAGGCAGTGATTTGCATTTATTTACACTGAATTTCACCTGTAGTTTTGTGTGTCTTTTAGAAAGTTAAGGTATGAAAGTCTCTCTCTGCTACCTTGCCATTGCTGACTGCTGCAGGGAACTGTTGCCTGTTAGAAAGTGGGATATCTGTCGAATTTGGCTGTTATTAGTCCCTTCCTGATCTTACAAAGATTAATTCTACATTATCCTTTTTATTTTTTTCTAAGAAAGAAGATGATGTGAATGGGCTGTAAGAACCCGGCAAGATGGACAGAGAGCTGCCCTGCGCTGAGGTGGATGGAGAAGTGTCCTCTGCCAGGGAGGAGCTGGGAGGAGAGATGCTGCCCTGTGCGGAGAGCGATACCGAAGGAGATGTGTCCTGTGCCGAGAGCGATACCGAAGGAGAGGTGCCCTGTGCTGAGACCAACACAAAAGAGGCACCTTATGCTGGGAGCGGTGAGGAAGGAGAGGTGCCCGGCACTGACAGCGACAGGGAAATGCCTTGTGCCGAGAGTGACGCAAAAGGAGAGGCATCTTGCTATGAGAGTGAGGGGGAAGAAGTACCGGACACTGAAATCCCTACTGCTTCAAAGAAAATGTCTTCTCTTTCTTCTCCCTTGCGGGCAATCATCCGCCTGCGACGACGATACCGGGTGCAAAAGAAAAGCCGTCTGCATTTAGAACTCCCTCGAGAAAAGTCTCCAGAGCTTGTCCACACGAGGCTGCTCCAAAGGCAGCTTTCCCTGAACCGAACTAGCCTGTATGGCTCTTCCATGGCCTTCTTTAACCAGAGCAGCTTTGAAAGTTCCCAGTACTTCACCTTCGACACATCGCTGGAGCAGTACGCTATGAAAAAATGCAGGCGGAAAAAGAATCGAAGGAAATCTAGGATAGTCCTGTACCCAGATAAAACGAAAAAATACCTTCCAACGGAGGAGAAGAGCAAGGCAAAACGCTGCCTCCTCTTGCTCATTGTCATTATCTTCTTCCAGATTCTCAATGCAATAGAGAACCTGGATGATAACCTCCAAAAATACGACCTGGATGGTTTGGAGAAAACAATGCACCGGGAAGTATTTGGGCAGAAGGTCGCTGTGGAAAGTATTATGGAATTACTGAAAGACTATCTGGCTACCCACATACACAACAAGCCTCTAGTAATCTCTTTAAACGGCCCGACAGGAGTTGGGAAGAGTCACGTTGGCTGGCTACTGGCCAAACATTTTCGTTCCGTCATGGACAATGACTTTGTGCTTCAGTACTTCGTTATGCATCACTGCCCCAACGGGGTGGCTCCTCTCACTTGCGAAATAGATTTGTCTAAGAAGATTTCTGACATGGTTACGAGAGCCGAAGTAGAAGAGAAGATACCCCTGTTTATTCTGGATGAGGTTGAACTCATGTCCCCAGTCCTGCTGGATACTCTCAGTCGATTCTTTGAGCCCAATCAAACCAATGAGTTCCTCAATGCCATCTATGTTTTGATAAGCAACATAGGAGGTGGTGAAATAACAAAGTTTGTTATCCAGAATGCATCCACTGAGCTTCTGCATCAGCAAAGGGGAGTTGAAGAGTTGCTGAGCATCGTCCAGCCTGTGCTGATTGACGTCCACCCTCTCTGGAAGTCTGCAGACATCATCCCGTTTGTTCTTCTGGAGAAGACTCACGTCATAAACTGCTTCCTAGAGGAGATGAGGAGGGAAGGGCTGTATCCTGACCAGAAGCACATTGAGAATCTAGCAAGTCAGCTCAGTTACTACACTACAGGGGACAAGCAGTACTCCAGGATGGGCTGCAAGCAGGTGGTGGCCAAAGTCAACCTGCTGTAGTGATTTACTGCAGACACCAAGTCCTGCTCTCAGGATTTGCAAAATTCTGGGCTCACACGGAGGAGTACGTCACAGCAGGCTGTGGTCATGGTGTCCTTTCTCAGGCCTGCACTGACTCTGTCCTGGCTGAGGTAGAGTGACGGCGGCCCGGGCTCCTCTGCAACACAGTCTCTGTTCTCCGCCGGATGCTTCGCTTGTTCCTAAAGTTCTGTGAATCAGGCACAGGCAACAAAGCCCAAGCAGCCGCCCATTAATTGTGAGATGCTTTGTTCCTCCCATGCTCATTTGGGATACTTTGTCATTAAGGAGTTGTGAGATGAGAAGAGAGGCTGCGGGATATAAACAGGAGGAGGAAGTAAGTAGCTGGGTTCCTGTCCCTGCAGTACACATAGCCGTGTCTCACTCCTTCTCCGGGCTCACAGTCTTCAGCTCGTTGCTTTTCTCAGTCCTGGCTGGTGCTGTGCAGAGCAGGGGCCATGCTGGACACCTGGCAGAATCCAGAGAGTTTGTGGCTCCTCGTTCCCCCAAAATGTTGGGCACTCAGAGCTCTGCCTTCTCCCGCTCCTACGTGACCACACACCCCGGAGACTGCTTCTTGGACCCGTTCCTGAGTTCTTGCTCGTCTGAGCTCATACCTGAGCTCACCTTTGGCATCTCCAGCGAGATTTCTGCCCTGCAAGTCTGTTTGGGCTCGCCTTGAAGGCGGCTCAGCTGTGCCAGCCGGCGCAGGAGCAGCGGCAGATTGTGTCAGGTCTGGTGGTGGCAACTCGCCCTGAGGGCTCTTCTGCTTTTTGCTGCTGGGCACACTTCACCACGCTCCTTATCGAGAAAGCCCAAAATAGAAACTGACACACATGAGGCAACACACACTGGAAAAGACTCTTTGGGCTGTCTGGGCCCAGGGCAGTGGGAATCCTGGGCTTGTTCCCGGTCCTGCGAGGTGGAGAAGAGGTTCCCTGCCACTGAGACCCAGGGGAGAGCATGCTGCCTGGGAGCACCTCAGGAAAAGCACATGTCCTTGTTTTGAGCAGGCAAACTGAGCAGATATTGATGGCATTGCTTTTTCAGGTTTGGTTTTGTGCCTAAATACCCTTCTACAATTTGCTGTGAATTATCATAAACATAATCCTGTGGATGTTTGTGGATTTGCCTCTTTCTAATATTTGGTTTCCAAACAACTTCCACCAGAAACTACTGCATCCAGACCTATTGTCAGGAATAAATCCAAACTATCCTGAATACAGTTATTCAAAGTACATTTCCTTTATTTGACTGAAACGTGGTTTTCCTCCCAAATTTCTGTTCTGGATCAGTCTAGCTGCACTGCCATGCCTGTGCTTCCCAGTGACTGGGGCTGGGAGCGAGGGCTACGGCTTTGCTGCGTGTGTTTTGCAGACCACCTTGGCGCAGTGTGTGTGCAGCTCCTCGGGGTACACTCACAGTAAACCCGATCCAAACCCCATGCAGTGCAGCAGTGCCAAAGCTGCACAGCTGCACAGTGCTGCACAGCTCCTCCGTCCCCCCGAGCCACAGCAGGAACTGGGCTGGAGACCAGGGACGTGTGTCTTTGGCTGAGATGATGCTGGGCTGGAAAGCTTGTCCGTGGTTTCTCTTCTAGAAATTATCCAGTGGAGAAGCCTTTTCCTCCTGCAGAACAGCCTGTGAGAAGAGCTGGGCAGAGAGCAGAAAAGTGGAGTAGGGGAAGGGCTCTGAATGAAATTAAGTCCCCGTCTAGATTGAAGTGTCCCCAAAAAGTGACGTGTGTGAGCTGGTTTCCATTGTTTAGTGAGACTTTTCTACCAGGACAGTTAATGTTTTTATCCTGGATAAGAAACAGAAACAACTCAGGGACTGTGATTCCCATCCTCTTCCAGATGGGAGAGGGACAGAGGTTAGTTCTGGTTTCTCCTACCAAGGTCTGGTTTCTGGGAGAGCAGCTGGAAGCCTGAGAGTATGACAGGAGAGGTCAACATCACCCACACCGCGTGGGTTTGGGAGCTGAAAATGCCATCGGTGTCTGTGGTGCCGGGCTGCAGGGGTGCTGCCGCAGCAGGCACCCATGGGTGATGAATCGCAGGTGGCTGGTGTCGCGGCATCAGGACGGGCAGCAGCGCTGATGGCAGTGCTGCCTGTGCAGGGGAGGATTGCAGGCTGCCAAGGGCTGTGTGAGGGGCTGTAGGTACTGTGGGGATGCCTGAGCTGTTTTGGAGGGGATTTAGACTTGGGGTTTGGATGTCTGCACTTGCAGCCCACCCACAGGGTGTTCAGCTGTGCAGAGGGCCCTGGGTGCCTCTGCACCAACCAGCACCCCGAGCAAGAGGGGAGGGTGACTGAGGGGAGCTGGGCCTGTGCAGAGGTGGTTTTGGTCCCTCTAGGGTTCACCTGCCCTCAGCCAGGGGTCCAACCCTGCCCCAAGCGAGTTTTGCTGAGGCACCAGCCCAGGCTTTCGTACTCCCCATGAGCTGCATGCGGGGGGGCTGCATGCACCCTTAGGCTCAGCAGCATAGGACCCCTCATGCCTCTGCTCAGGGAGATTGGGGACATATTGTGCTGTCTTGCCCCCATCTCACCCCACTTCTGCCCATCAGCCCTCTCCCAAAGCGAAGCTGTCCCTCCTGTTTTGCAAAACCCATGGGGTGCCCAGGCACCCTGTGCACTTTGAAGACCTGCCAAGATCTTTGCCTCCCACAAAGCTCCTCTCGGTGTTAAGAAGTGGGGCTCAGTTTTCTGCTGCACAAAGACCACCCAATCCCATGGCCAGTGCTGGACAGGACGCTCTGGCCAGTGCTGCACATGTGCCAGCCCCCGCCCCACACGGCAGTTTTTACCTCTGGAGGCCTTCATCGGAGAGCACAGCAACCTCCAGGCCACAGAGAGGACTTTCCCTGCCAGAAGATAAGGATGCCTGGCTAGGGTGTCCCCACTCCCAACTCACCCCAGGACTCAGATCCCAGATCAAATGGCTCTTCAGGTTGTCCCTAACCCTAATCTCCTCCAGGATCCCAGCTTAGACATCTGTCCATACTGTCCCCGGTCCCCAAGCTGCCCTGAGATTGTGGCAAAGCCACCAGCCCTGCCAGGTGCTCTCAAGGCAGTGGGGCTGGCACATGGGCGACCCAGAGCGCTGCGCCCCAGGAGCCTGGTGGCTCATTTCTCAGTGCTGTGAGCAAGGGAAGCTGTGCTGAGGGCTGGGGTGGTGAGCCTGGCCTGAGCAGTAAACAGCTCCTCCTGCAGCCCGTCTGAGGCTGGACTCAGGGGAGCAAAGCATACGGAGCACGGTGGCTTGTCCTTGGTCCCACTCTGTCTCTTGGAGACTTGGTTGCTCCTGGCACAGGACACAAAGCTCTTCGGGAGATCTTTTACTCGATGGCTAAGGCTGAGATGCCCAGTGTGTGGTAACGTGCTTTCACCACAGACTTTGTCCTCCTTAGCCAGCCGTGAATTTCTTTATCCAAGTGCCTTTTCCAGGGAAAAATGCTGGTTGAACTGGAAGGATGGGTTTAAAGTTGAACGATGGGAGGGAGTGCCCCTGGGATGGGGCTCTCACTGCTGGTCCTGCTCTTCCCTGCACAGCCAAGCTGTGAATTGAAGGGCTGGTAGACAGCCTGGACTCCCCCACTTCAAAAGCATCCCGCACAATTTCCCTGCGCTGTCGTCTCCCTTCGCCTGGTGAAAGGCTTGTTTTCTTCCAGGAGTGCTGGGCCACGCATGTCACAGGATTCCAGGATGGCTGGTCTCATGGGTCCAAGCCACCGGGATGCGTCACCTCCTGTTGCCAGCTCTTGCTAACTAGTGCACCGTGCACTCAAGGGGAGGGTAAAACACCCGATGGACAGGGGGCAGCAGGGGGTACTGTGTTGCCCATAGCCTCACCCATCTATAAGGGATCTCTTCATCCCTTCTTTACTCTTAATAGCTTCTCTGTAATCAGAAGACCTAGAAATAGGATTTTGTAGGAGATAGTGCTAGGGTTGAAAGAGTTGCTGTGGCTGGATGTCTGTCCTGTGCCTTCAGCCAGCTCCTCTGGATCCCCCAGGTGAATGGGGCCTGAAGTGTGGGACCTGCCACATATTCTGCTATCCAGGTGGCTGCAGGTGGCACTGGGAAGGCCGCCTTGGTCAGTCAGAGCTCTCCCTGTCATGCTCGGAGCAGTGATTTATGGAAATCAGCTCCCATCCCGCTGCAGGCATGGCACTGCATCTGGCCTTGAGCAAAGCCTGGCTGGTTCAGCATTTAAAGCAGCACTGGGATAACTGTTCCCCATCGCAGGCTGGCAGGGGCTCATGGGGAGCCCAGCAGGTACGCTGCGCCCCACAACTGCATCCTGAAGCCAGTGGTGTTTGGGCCAAGTTCTCTTTTTGTATTGACCCTGGGGAAAGCGCAGAGTGATCCCAAGGAGGTGTACAGTGAGGGTGCAGGAGCAGCATGGCAATGGTAAAGGAGGTAATTCAAGTATGAAATAGTGTGTCTTGCAGAGGATGGAAATTGTGACCACACTGGCCTGGTCTGTGCTGAAGGCTTTCCCCAGGCCCAGCAGGCACGAGCTGCATCCCATTACATGCGGCACTGTCACACCTTGACTAAGCAGTGGTGCCACCTCCAGGAGCACCTCCCAGTACAGAGGACATACCAATTAATGCCAGCATTGAAGACACTGATTAGTCTTACCCATATCAGCTATCAGCCTCACCTGACATCTCCCCACACCCAGGATCCTACCCTGAATGGGAATAATTTTCTAAGCGTGCTCAGGAACACTATTTAAGGTCAGGTGGAGCTCAGTCCCTGTGGGAGTTGTGTTGGATTCCAGCTCAGCTTCGTCTGTGCCTGGCTTTAGGCACTGCCGATCTGCGACCTCAGCCTGACATTTCCTCTCGCCCCATCATCATGGACTTGCATGGCTATTGCTGGCCCTGCTCTGTGGCTTGTCTTCCTGGCTTCGTGCTGGACCCGTCTTGTCCCCATGGTGTCACTGGATCTGGACTCCTGAGATGCTCTGA